TATGGGCAGGGTTGGAGCTTTACATTCTAATGCTTTTGTGATGGATTTAATAGCTTCAATACTGAGGATATATCTCTTGCAAGCGTATTTTCACATACTGAACTGGCTAGAAGCAAGTCAATGTGAATTTTTATAATTCAGGCATTTAGCTGTGGCAGTGGCAACCCTGATGAAACAAATATCTTGTCTGATTTTTTTTCTCTTCACAGTAAGACCAATAAATTGTTTTTTACCCTATGAAGTAAAATTACTCCACTTTTAAAGAAAATGTGTTTCTTGACAGTTTCCTCTAGAGTACAAGCCAAACATGCTGGTTTTACTCTAACATGGACAACATCAGCAACATCAAACAGTGAAAAACATAGGTCAGGGCCTCCAGACTAATGGTGTAGAATTAAAAATTAATTTTTAAATGGTTCTTTTCCTCTGTTCATATTTTTTGGATTCTCAGTGCAACCAGAGACTAAAAGCTTACTCTTTTAAGAGGAATTAGATTTTTACATATTCAAACAACCCCAGGAATGGGAGCTTCAAAAAAAAAAAAAAAAAAAGAATATTTTAAATTTCCAGATAAAATCATTAGATCTGAGAATACTGGTTGCAGTTTATGTCAGGTATGTTTCATTAGGTTACAATACATAAAACAATTACAAGGTTCTCAAGGTCACTTGAGAGCAAATACAAAAATTAGTGGTAACAAGGTCTGACCACTCACTGATCACCAGAGAAAAGAGGGAGAACAGATATTTCCTTCTCTCTTAAACCACACTTACATACAACATCATGTAAGTATGATTTGCTGGGAGTTTTCTACACTGGGAGAAAATGGTTTGGTTTTTACCGATGCTGAGGGACAGGAGATGGAAAGGTCTTTTTCTACTTTTTCCACTCTGACCTGAATTTGCTTGCCTTCCTGAAGAAAAGACCTTGATGTATCCTTTCTGCTGAGTCATTTCTCTAGAGGATGCCAATTTTAGGGACTCATTAAAGGAAATATCTCCTTCCTAAAGAAAATCTCAAAGCAGTCAAAGCTTCAAATCAGTCTCCCTGTCCAAGCTCTTCTGCAGTGGTTTTATTCTGTAGCTCTCTGCTGTAATGATGTTTTTTTCCTTTGGGTTAGGTGTGCTGAGCAGTGGCTATTTCAGTTACACCTCTTGGATCCTTATTGTAACTCTTATGTGGGACTGGGACATTTGGGGGACTTTGATGGGACTTTTGCCTTGTCTCTAGCTCCCTTGTTTGAGGGAAATACTGGTAGATTTTGTAGCTTCAGCTTTCTTAGGCTATATGCATCGTCCCTGATTCAGATTTGCAGTTGTCTCAGGCTACCTGTTCAGATCGCTGATAAACAGAGTTCCTCACCTCTAAATACACCTTTTTTTCCTATCTCTACATATGCATGTGCCTTGATTACTAAATGCTGGTGATACTACATTTGCTTCCTTACTGCAGACAGTTTGGTCTCCATAAAGAACAGATGCAAATATCCTAGATAAGGATGTATTGCCACTGGAGGATGTGAGATTTCAGTTGGTGTATGCCCAAATAATATCATTTGTTACTAATGAGTCCTCTTTCCTTAGCATCATGTATGATAAATCTTCCTGAAAATCTGTTTCACAGTTAGACTTAAACTTGAGATCACTAGAGCTATAGATTTACTGCTTGAGGGTTTTCCTGAACTTTTGGCCTCCTTTGCCCAGGGCTGTTTGCTCTGGGTTGGGATTCTTGGCAGGTGCTTATATGATATATACTTAGAGAATTGTTTGCCCCTCTACCTGTGTTTTTCTTTCATATCTCTAATGAGAAGGTTGCTAAATGTCATTTGATATATTCTAGAGTGTGTGCAGAGTATCAATTATAATAACTTATTCTTTATTGCGCTTTCAGGTGTATTCCTATGTTTAAGCTAACCTTCCCCTCCTTTTTCTGCTGCCCATGAGATGGCTCTTTCCCTCCCCTCTGGTTGCCAGGGTGACCGGGCTTCCCTGATGTGGATGCTCTTGACTTGGCTCCTTGCCATCCCTCTCCCGGAGACTGGAGTTTTCACTTTCCTTCGGATGATGAGGACTCCTGTTTGCTCTTCTGCCTGCCCAGGCAGCTATTCTCCCTTCTAGGCAGACCTGGTTTAGCAACTGCTAGAAGGAGCAGTGATTTCATGTGCCTGCAGGCTGCAATCAGCCAAGCCTCTGAGTGAAGTGGAAGTCACCTTGTATTATTTTCCCCCTTTTTTTTTTTTTTTTTTTTTTTTTTTTTCTCCTTTCTGATCCTTCTCCTTGCACTGGAGTTCAGCCAGTTCTCACTCTCTTAATGTGGCTGTGATGATGAGAAAAAGGACCCTAGAGTGGTACATATGCAGCAGAGGTAAAACCTTTTTTCTTTGTATTTCAGAATGGATAAATTCAATTTTCAGTGCTAGTGACATTAGAAAATGGATTCTTGCAGTACTTGTAAGCACATTTACCATAGAGGCTTTGCCAAGATTTAACTCAGAAATGAGTAAACCTCAGGATAGGGCATTTTAGAATTCAGGTGCACAATAGAGGTTGTTTAGAAACTTTATTGAAGGAATTTGACTGTTTTTTTGTCACTGAGCAAACAGATATCATGTGATCTTTATGTTCAGCCCCAAAAGCCAACATTTCAGATTCTGCATGCTGTCCCAGGTTGCTGGTAAATGTGGTCTCATCTTGGAATCACTTTCAGAGGTCAGCCAGTTAACAATTCTGTGGGACAAATCAACGTAGAGTTGCAATTTGCCTGGGCGTGACTCAGCTGTAACCAAGAACTAGTATTTTTAGTCAATTAAGTTCTCCGAGTTATTTGTCCAGTTATAGCTAAAGTGCTCTTTTGAGATACCAGTAAGAAAATATTAGGTGTTACAGGCTAAGAAATGGAAAATTAACTAAATTTCCATCCCTAGGGGTGGAAAAACTACTATTTAGTGTTCATATTCTCTGCTTTTCCACAAGGCATATTTGGTCTTGTATGTTCCCCTATGTTTTCTCTGGCATAATTTTATATGATTCAAATAATAAGACTTTTAATACTCTGTTCAGTGCTTCTGGGACACAGTGACAAAATGCACTAGACTAGTGCTGTTAGTTTAAATTATGTAATGTTTCCAAATATATGGAAAAATGTGGTCCTTTGTTCAAGTTCATCCTTCATCCTCTCCTCTACACTTTAAACATTGCATCTTCGAGCTTGTTTCAATCCAGTTTGCTTGTTTTTAAAGTAGTGATATATATGCAAATTTCTAAGTAGTAATGTCATCTGTGTTTTATAGGAAATCCAGGAACAGCAGCTACACTGCAGCTATCACATATACTTATAACCCTCAACATACTTCCCTTTCTAACATACGGCTAATTATTTTTAAAGCACATAACATATTATATAGCTGAGCTCTGAAACATTATGTGCCTGTTCTTTTACATAAAAAGTATTTATAAAAGCTTTTTCTGCAGTGGTTGGGAAATTAAGATAAAATGCATCGAGCTACTTCCATTAAAAAAGTTAGTAGGAAGGACTTGCTAGAGCAGACTTTGTAATGTTTTTGCATCTAGCTGTAAGAAGGATGTTCTATATTTAAATCACCTCATTGGAAGAAGCATTGGAACAGTTTTACAGTTTTCCTGCCAAGTGATAGCTGTGGAAGGCTGCAAGAGCACCAGACCCTACTACTGAAAGGTAATAGTCTTCTTATGCAAATGTAAGTTAATATTCAAAGGGTTAAATGGAACAGGGAATGATCTTAAATTTCAGCCTTCTGTGCAGTCCTTAGTTTTATTCAAAGATATAAAATATCATGACATGCCTTCACCATGACTATGCTGCTTTGACTTACTGCTTGAGCAATAAAATATATACATATTTTTGTATTGTGTATGCTGTACTGTAAACATAAAAATTACTTTATTCATCAATATACAATCCTCCGAGGAGTGTCTTATCGGATAGCAGTGGTTGGGGCAGGGAGTTTATTTGCCCTGGATTTCCTCAACACTTTTGGAAGGGCAGTTTGCAAATGAAGTGCAGGATTCATTAAGGAGTTTAGTCAAGGTTATTTGATGAACTTGGGCATTACTTTATCTGAAATAACATTGGATTGTCACTTTCCTCTGGTTTATTATCGGAATAACAAATCTTTAAAATGCTGAAATATTCACAACAATGTTATAGAGAAGATCCTGCGTGTATGATATAGGCTTGATTTATTTTCCCTGAATTAATGTGGATGACTTACTTGAAAAGGTTTTAAATGCATTTAGCAGTTCAGCTAGTATTTGGCATTATTCCTACGATAGGTATGTATATATGTGGGCATATACAAAATTCTATTAGCACAGAATTACTATTTTTGGAGGCACAGCTTTTAAGTATCAGTATCTTTGAAAATATTTCATTTGTCTCTTGTCCTTTAATCTTTTTTTGCAACTAATGAAATGTAACATTATAAAATTAAGGAATATTTCATCCTCTTGAAAGATTTGACTGTATTATCACAAGGGAAGATACTTGGCCATTTTAAAAGTAAAGATGTCAAAGGAAAATATTTCTTTAGCTGATGTGTCCAAATGAGAGATTGCTCATAACTTCAGAGTGAAGCATGCTGAAAACTCCACAATGTCAGTTTGAGAGTCTCAATGCTAACAAGTTAATATAACTTACACTAGCAACTGCCTCTTAAGAAGGAAACACAATGCTGTACCAGAGACCTGTAGTATCTATTCTGTCCAGAAGCTCTTTCCTGTATTTTAGCTAACAATTAGTAAAATATACATGATTCTTAATTGAATATCACTTTGAAAATTATAGAACTAATATAAGCCATTGTTCATTTTCTGTTATAGACCATTTCGTTACCACTGACAGTTTTGAACCTCATCGCTATGGATTTTTTGTGTCTTTTTTATCTTCTTAATGATGTATGCCTAGCAAGACAAACAAATTTCTTTTAATTCTGTAGTTAGACCAGTTAAAAAGGACTGACTTACCCTGTCTTCTTCAGCTCTTAAGTCTGGCATTGTGCTAACACAAAGGCTTATAGCTGTGGTGGCCACAAAGAGAATGGAGAGACAAGCAAAGACTTTGCCTGGGAGTCCCGACTGGGGATTTTCTACCATATCTCTGAGTCTGTTCATAAACTGTCCAAATTTGGTTTTCTCATCCAAGACACATGTAGCTTCTTTGCTCCTCCGAAGCTCTTCTTCTTTGCGTACCTCGGCCAACTCCTGCAGTTTTTGGAATAGTTTTCGAAAGCAGCAGTTCTCCAGGTTGGATTCCTCAATCCCCCAGTATCTCAGCTCCTCCTGAAAAGACAAGGCACACATGTCGCTTATGAGCATCAGCTTCCCCGCTGCTAGAAAGCTGACAATCATCCCAAAAGCACTGGGGTTCCTGTCAAAGAAGAACTCGTGGGTGTCTTCATCGTAATCGTCACACAGCTGTATTATTTCTTCATAACTGCTGCAAAACTTAAGTTTGCTCAGTCTGGTCAGGGGAAATTCATCTAAAGTACTCCAAGGTAGCAGGTACTTGATGCCTCCAACATTTATCATGATCTCTGTCTTTAGGTCGACTGTAGAGACTTGATCAGGATGGTAAATCCTCCTGGCTCTTTGGTAATGGACCCCTTTGACAGAAGGGGTTTCAACGGTGACAGGAAGTAATTGGCTCAAGGAATTACAAGAAGCGTAGCTAATATTACTATAGTCTTGGTCACTGCCTCTGGAGAGAATAGGCATCTCTAAGAGTTCTCACTGGGACATCCGAAATGGCATCAGAGCAGGGTTATCTGTCAGCCAAAAGATACAGGAAGGAGGAGAAAACATAGTAGAGGTTATTGTAAGAGGAAAGGTGCTTCAGGCTACTGACCTGAATCACAAAATTAATGAGTGCCTGTTTTGTAAGTAAAAGTCACCTCTATGCTTCTTCCTGAAATCTGCAGCTTGTGAATGCGATTTGCTTTGCAGCCTCATTGGTTGTCTGGCAACACACAGACACAGAGGAGAGCTAAAGCCTCATTCATAATTATCAGGAAGGATTGGATGCCTGCAAATCCAAATGCGAACAGATCGGTCTCTTCTCTGAGCATACCTTGGTCATTGTTAGATTGTTGTATTTTCCAGTGGTTGTCACTTTGCTTTCTTATTTCTATAAACCCTTAAATACATTCTAACTCAACTAAGCTGCTTAATAGTTTATTAGAGTGGTCAATTACCCACCCTCAGCTGGATGCAAAGTTCCTAATTGCTTTAACTTGAATACTCAGATTGCAATTCCTCTGCCTTTCAATACATGCCTTTTTTGCCTGCCTCTCAGGAGTATTGCAAGGATTAGCTAGTAGATGTTTGTAAAATGCCTTAAGAGGTAAAGTGCTGTATAAATGATGACTATTCTTATCAACTCAGTCTCATGTCATTGCAAATTACCAAGAAGATGTAGAGAACATTTGCCCACCTTGGAGAAAACTTTGTTACATGGACAGAAAGCAAAGCATTTTATCATCTTGGGGGGGGAGGGGGGGAGGGGAAAACAACTGAAAGATGCCCACCCTTCAGTTCCCCCTTTCAGGAACAACCCCCTGGTTTTGTTCATAATCTCTAAAGATACAAAGGCATTCATTACCCTAAGCCAGTGAACTGCAAAAATTGCAAGGAAACTTCCCCAAAGTTACTTACCACCGCGCCACGGGCTGCTGCCCGGTGCCTGGCTTCCCCGCAGGTGAAGTACACATGCCGCAAACTGATCAGCTGTCCTCTGAGTTACAGTCCAGGAGAAGGACCTGGGGATATTTTACAGTATTGATTACATGAAAAATCACTATAGCACTCTGGAGATTGCAGTCTCTTTCTTCTTTCTCTCCTTTCCTGGAAGGGGAAAATATTCATATGTGTTCATATAATAGATGTTGTATTAATAGATCTGTTGCAAAAGAGACGGTGTCCTAAGTGGCAGCTCTTCTCCTGAGCGTTCCTGGTGAAATATGCTGAGTGAGAGCTGGTGGATCCTGCCCTCTCCCTCTCTCTCCTCTGTTTCCCTTGGGACTGTCAGTGTGGTCCTGGAAGAGGAGGGGAGAGGGAAGGGGGAAGGGCTTAGAAATAATCTCTCTAGCATCCCTCTGTCTATTCAGCAGGCAGCAGGCAGAAACTGGGTAAGAACATGGAGTACAAGGACAGTCTCCAACTAATGAGGTTTAATAAGTAAATTCTGGCAAACCTACTTAATAAAAAAATTTCAATGTCTATTAACTCATTCCGTTGTAGTCATACCACAGTTGCTTGCTCTGGAGACACCAGTCATATTCCTCAGGAGAAGTTTCCATGTCCTGCATCCCTCTTGACACTGGGATTTGCTTTTAAATATCCCTAGATGGAGAAGGAAGTTTGTTGGGTACACGGTTGTTGGTCCTCAGCATTCCTTTGGCTATTATGGGAGTGCTTTCCTCCCATAGAAATAAAAGTCTCTGGCTTGCAAAGAATAGGTGCTGAGCACTCTCTTTTCCAGATCTGCAGTGACTTTCCAACAGCCAAAACTTTTTCCTTTCTTCTTTACAGATGACGGGAAATCAAACACAATCCTTTTCTCATTTTTCTTATACATGGCTGCGTGGGGGGGGTGAGCTTGCCATAATGCTTTTGGGTTCTGTACTGCCAGTAGGTCTTGGGCTGCCTCGGTCTAAAATTGAAATGACATGGATTTGACCCATATTCTGCTTGCTTGGCCTCAGTCAGAGGGTTCAAGAAACTTATAATCAAATCCTGTTGACAATTAGCCTCTGTGGTACTCCCAAATGCAGAAAGAGATGCCTTAGCTTATGTGTATACCCAGTGTGGCTGAAAGCACTGAAGCTCAATCCTATTACTAGAAAGGTGTGTGAATCTGTAGGATTTACATGTCTCGCTGTGAGTATTAAGGTCGCGGAGAGAAGTGTTATGAGCTTGAATCGCAGAGCTGCTTTTCTGCTTTTTGCACAGTGGGTATAAGGTGCAGGTGGTGCCCTTTGCTTGCACCGTGCTACTTACCCTCGTAAGGGATGTGGGACTTGTGCAGATGCTCCTCAGAAGCGGATGCTGCAGCTGTTTATCAGCACTGAGTAATGCTGTGGCACAACCTAGGGAGGGAAGCTTTTGCTAATTGGACTTTTTGGCACATCTCTCTTGGCCTACATGGTGCCCAGAAGATTAACTTCTTATCAGGCTTCACCACTGGGGTTTTCACTCAAGTCCTAATTATGCCATCCACAGAGAAAGACCAGATAGATGCCTGAAGGCAACTGAGTTCTGGGAGCATAGCTCAAAATCACTTAAATCCTACCACCTTTGTGCAAGATGCAGTTTGTTCTGCCTATCAATCTGTCTTGTGGATTTTTTTTGCAAAGAAAAAGCAAACCTATTCTAATTAACTTTGGATGGATTGTTTTACAAAAGGATAAAACCAATTAGCATTTCCTTCTTACCTTGTGAAGCCCTTGTGTGGTGTTGTTGAAGGTTATATTTCTGAAACTAGCTGATGAGAAGTTGAATAAATCCAAAACAATGTGTAAATATTGTACATAATTGAGTGATTTGAGTATTATTTATCAAGAAATGCATATATTCTAATGTTTAAGACTTTGCTTCCAATATTAAGCACCCTGATATTTGCTTTATTGGGATCTGCAGCAGTGTCTGTAGCTAGATCCAGGACCTCATTGCCAGCTAAAACCATACAAGTATCTATCAGTCAGTCCTTAAGAGTCATCTGTCTTCATAAATGAGACAGAGAAAGGATAGAAATATTTTAATCTTAACTTTATTAACAGGATACAAAGGTACAGAAAAGAGAACTGATTTATTTGGTGTCTGAGGAAGACAGGCCATGAACCCAGCTCTGAAGATCTTTAAACATGTAACTTGTCCCCAGAGCTGTCCTTCCACTCTGGCCAGTCTCTGCCTTCTGGACTCTGCTACCATGTCTGTATGAGATCCTCCTTAGTAGTAGAGTATCTAAAACTAATAATGCTGACATCACAAATTGAGATCTCTCCCTAGGTGGGGAAGGCATATTTCCTGGCTCAATTTGAACTTCTGCTCGCTTGTTTTTTTCGCCTTTTTTTTTGGTTTTTTTGTTTTGTTTTTTTTTTTTTTTTTCCCCTCCAACTACTGCTGTAGTCTTCCTGTTAAACTCCCTTTGGATTTGCCCTATTCAGTATGAAGTTCATGATCTTTGTTCCCTTTTCTTGTTCTCTATTTCCTTTGCAGTTTCTGGAATTGCTGTCTCCTTGCTCCTTAGCCATATGGTTATATCAACTTCTTGTACATGGCCTTTATGCCTTAAATGCAGTTTCCATCTGCTTCATTTACACATTGACATGAATTACATTCCTGTCTCCTCCCTGTTGCTTCCCCCCTTTTGTTGTTTTGCCATTCTACTGTAATTAGTTTTAGACCTGCCTCTCACATCCCATTTGTACAACAAGTGCAATGTGCTACTGCTGAGAAGAAAGCTGAGCAGAAGAGAGAGGCAGTTCCTACCAAGATGGCCTTAGGGACAAAGCAATTGCACACTGTTGTACAGCTCTCTCAGCTGAACTAAGCCTAGCCCCATGTAAACCAAAGTTAAAGCCTCAATCTAGGCTGTGTGGTAATGGATGGTGTCACTGTTACTGAATTCAAATTCAAACACACATAGGAGAGATCTCCTAGGCTGGCCTGAAACCTTGGGGGTGTGGTGGTGCAGTTGTCATCATGTCCCTGTGACATGCAGGGGAGAATCTGGTAAGAGACATCTCTTACGGTGGGTGAGCAGATTTTTCTTAGGTAGTTCGATAATGAAATAATTTGCAGGGCTAATATTTAGATATTGATGATAGTTAAATGCTGTAGAAATGGAAAGTCAGTGAATGTCACTGGCTTTAATAACTTGCTTACCTGTGATTTAATCTCCTGTGTTTTGTTCTCTGTGATTATGCCAGAATCCTGTATCAAGCAGCAGATACATACAGCATATAGATACACAGAAGCAGCAAGCACTTTTTCACCAAGCACATAATAAAACTGTAGAATTTATTGGCACATTATGTTGTGTTGGCCAAAAGTGTAAAGTATTCAGAAAAGGACTGAGCAAATTTATGCAAGGAAGGTCCACCAGATAGATCCCATGTCTGGCACGAAAAGTCAGTAGCCCACATATTTCTCTGCAGCAGGGAGATATTTTAGTGGAAATACCACGATGTATATGCTTTCCCTGTTCTGTTTTTTTCCTAGATTTTTGATAGATGATGTACATGGGGGCTGCACAGACCCTGGTGTGACACTGTGGAGATATTCTTATGCTGAGAACCCTGGGGAGGGTGGCCTAGGCTCTAATAGTTTGGTCATGCATTTCTGGGTTGATCATGCACTACTTACCTGCCAGTATTTCTCTGTCAGAACAGCAAAAAGAAAGCTGAAGACAAAACTCTGATTATATATGTGTGTGCATGTATATATATTCAAGACTAGTGATGTCAGTATATAATGGGAAATCTCACAAAGGAGTAGACTGCACACTCTGAAATTGTATGTGCTTGAAGGTCTTCCAATCATTCTGCAGGGAGCAGGCTTGTAATTTAATAAAGGCACTGTTGTCAATCTTCCTTCCTTCCCAACTGGACTGTTTTTTAATGCTTATATACAATACAAAGGTAATTACTTTGCCTGGCGTCTATGACAGAAGACACATTTCAGGCTTTTGCAGTCAGAGAACAAACAAAAGTGTAAATCAGAATAATTATTTAAGGAAATACGAATGCACTGAAAAAGAGGAGAAAAAGTAAAAATGGAATAAATTAATTTTAAAAACCTGTATTGTCTTCATTCATTGGCTTATAAATTAGCCCAGTGCTGAATCTTCAGTTGGTGCAATTTCATACCAAAATTATTGGATGAGATTTCTTTTATCAGTTGAGTATGCAGCCTTTTGTCTGTGAGTGCTACTTCTCTAAGCCTCAGCCAACGTATAGCCGTGGCCTCTCCCAGGTTCTTTGTTTGTGTCATCTGAACTCTTACGATAAATAAAATAATTTTTCATTTATTTGCAAAATAATTGACATGGGATAGAAAGGATCATTTTAACACTTAAAAATTAGTTTAAATGCTTCCATTGTGTTCACAGGTGGTTAACACTTCTGGAAGTAATTGGATTTAGATAGCCATGGAAATTCAACATCTTTTCAGATCCTTATATTACTCATTGGGCATAAAGAATAACAGCCTTTTTTTCTTAGTTTATTTATTACTTTATATATTGCAAGGTAAACTCTCAGGATTTATGCCAACATTTTATTCAGTCCAGAAAGTAAACTTTCAGGATTTGTGCCAACATTTTATTCAGTCCAACAACATTCACTTCATGTTCCTGTTTATTTCCTCATAATTTGTCTTCATGGAGCAATAGAAATATCCCTTCTTGCCAAATGCCTAGTTTGTACGGATAATTAAATTGACAGTAAAGGGCTAGATTCACCTCTTCATTATTCAAGTCTTACCGAGTTGCAGCATTATTGATTCCAGTAGAATAATACTGCAATTGCCCGGGAATATGTGGTGAATCAGGCAATGGGTACCCTTGATTTGTTAAGCACTTTTATAATATATTGCTGGTTCATCCCAGCCCTTAGAAACCCCAGTCATGATCTATGCTCCTGAGATGCCACAAACTGTCTTAGAAGACTGAGTCACATATTTTTGCCAGTGTTTTATTCCTTATTTCCATCCCTGTCTCTGTAAAAGTTTTTTCTTTTTTCTCTGTCGACTTTGATGAAAGCCAAATAGGGCCACCTCTCAGTAGGTGAAATACCATTAAGCATATTAACTATTCAGAGCATTTCTTTGCTATGTAAATGTAAAATAAGATTCATGATATGTAATGCAGAAATTGCTGTGTCCTTTTACTCTTCTCCAGGCATGAAGACTGAATTTAGGAATTAGCTTCAGAGAAGTTTCCCAAAGTTTTCTGTGCTCATTTCCTCTGGACTTTGTAGAAAATTATACCTGTTAATGGGCAGTGCC